TTTGAGGCTTGAGCACTGAGGGAACAGGGCTGACATGCCTACCAAATATTGCACAGCTGTAGAATAATCCAGAGAAGGCTTCTGTCCATGTGTCAATCACCCATTTGCGTGATTTCACAGACACCACAAAGAAGAACCTGTGCAACATTCACCTTTCACTGTGCATCCAGAGACATTTATACTGGATGGCATATGACTGGGGGAAAAGGGTGAGGACCAAGAACATGTCAACACAAGGAAAAACCCCCAAACCTGAACCTTCCCACCAAATCCAGCACAATCATACAGTGCAGAGCATTTCCCTCAAATCTAGTATGATCAGAACACATGACATTTGGCCCTATGCATAGCACGTAATACACCTTAAACCAAATTTTAAAAACTCTCATTTTTCTCCCACATTTCCTGGAAACTTTGGTGCTTCCTGTGTACAAACAATGGATCATCCCTGGATTTGGGAGAGAAGGCAGAACAGATCACTGCCTTGCAGGCACAGGCACCCACCACCATTTACCAATGTTTGCCCAGGAACATTGGTTACAAAGGCTTTTCCTTCCTTGGTGTCAGTGGTGGTGGTGCACTCTGAGGTCAATATGAGGTGCTGGGCTCCTCGCAAGTGGGAAACACTTTTCTGTAAATTTTGTCTGAGGTGGGGAGCTGGCCTGGAGAATTAGTAAATGGCACTGCCTGCCAGGGAGCGATCTATCCTGGCTCTGGGAGCTAATGGAGGAAAGGCAGTGGCAGAAGACCACAGCAACATCTGCAGGGACACATGTAAATCTCTGCAGTAAATATGTGGGATGGCTCTGGCACATGATGGGGGGGGCAAAACAGATGTGGAGTCCATTCAGACTTTTCTCCAAGTGTAGACAAACCCAATGTTTTGCTTATATACTTGAATAAGGGTAAGGTGTGTGGTTGGGTTGTGAGACTGGCATCCTGGCTGAGATGCCAGGTGTTGCTCCTTTTCTCCTTAACTCCTCTGTGTCAGATCCTGTACCCTTTCAGAGTCCAGTAATCCAGCTTTCTGTGTTCCTTGGTAAGACTTTTATTATTCAGTAACAAATGATGTTTACAGTAGCATTCTGCAGCAAAACTGCCCTCATCCACTATCTCCATCCTGTTGTGACCCAGACCCTTCACTCTAGTTTCATGGGCCTTTCCCGGATTTGTTTCTATTTCGTAATATGCCCATCTGATACCCATCCATATGCCCATCCATCCAGCCTCCCTTTACGAACTTTCATTCTTGCCTTGGCTTTCCTTTTCCCACAAGGCTCACTTGAGAAAAATATTCCTCCACACATCTGCGTACAGTGGTCCCTCCACAATTGCTGGGGTTAGGGGAGAAGGAGCCCCATGAATGTGGAAACCTTGCAAATAAAAAAGACACATACACACTATTCTTTTTACCTGAGGGAACACCTCTCTAGGAATCTCCAGGTC